ATCACATAAGTGTTTTTCAAGGAAACACCCATTGAGTGTTTTTTCCTTTGTTTGAATTGTGCAAATGCCCAGAAGTCTCTATTTTCCTTACTATGACAGCTTGTCTATCTATCTCTGATTTGAGCTAGTTCAAGGACTGTAGGAAGAACATGGTTGAAAAGACCACATGTTGTACAAATTAGTTTGTTCGTAGCATTTATGATTTTACTGTTGACACTCCCTTGGATTAGCTGCCTCAGGCCATGCGATCCCTAATTAGCTCGTCTCGAGTGTGTGAACAAGATCATCAAGCTCTCGCAGTGGTTCTTGTTCACCTAAACACCTAATATAAGAAGGATCCTGAAGCAAACAGTGGGCTGGCACACTCTCTTGCCATGTATATATATACAACACACATAGCAGCAGGACATGTGTACATAAAGTTAACCTGTAGTTATTTGTCTTGTTTTCCTGATGTATCTGAGAATGCGTCTGCATGAGAGGATCCAGCTGCTATATTTGGCAAATTGCACCACAGATGCAATCCATATTGGCGCAGGGAAGACTCTCTGGGCTAGCAATCTCACTGGCTCCCTCCACTAGCTAACAAAAGTAATATGATTGACGGGATATAATTATATGCTCCTTCAATGGGAACAACAAGATACAGCACACTCAGTATTGCCGAGCGTTATCCAATATTTGTTTGGAATTATAAACATAAGATAATCCTCGCAATTTTTCAGATTTCATCACTTTGGAAAACAGCGGATCATCAATCAACTGCTGCAGCTGTTTCACACCATGACAACCGCTGAATGGAATGTATTGCCTCCAATTGCAATCATACAATTGATCACAGGATATCAATAACCACTCAATGAATGTGAAATGCATGCTTTATTAAAGTTATCGGATACAAATAATCTACTAATGATGGTTTTGCTCACAGTAATTGGCAAAGCATTCTTTTTTTTTCATATTATGGGAAAGCAAAATCTGTACCACGAGGTGAAACGAGGACGGCTTCTCAGGCGTCGCCACATCACGCACAAACGACCTTTTCTTGTTTTAATTAACATCCATTCTGGATTCAAGGCACACTTGGCAGCGAATGCTGCACTTCATATCAACCCGGGACACCAATGCAGCATCAAAGTTCAAGGCATTTGGTATTTCATCAATAGGCTGATGTACTTTTAAAAAGACAATCATGTTTGACATGTTTTTCATACTGAAAGAAAACAAAGTCTAGATCTTTGTGGCCTCCCAGTGCTCTTGTGACCCAGATAGGTGGAATGATTATTGGAGATCTTCAACAGCATGTCAAGTGGCTACTAGGAAGAGGGCGAATTAGCAGCATTTAGCTGATGTTCGGAGAAGCTGAACCCTCGTCTCTCTGTTTGGAAGTCACTCAGTCTAACCTCATATTTAGTTAGTGCTCTCACAAAATCCAGGAAAAGGAAGCACAAATACCGTAATGTATTAAAACAATCACTGAAGTATATTAAGGTCAAGAAACATGATTCCCTTCTTGTCCAAGAACTGAATCATTACTACAACTTGACTGGCACAAGACCATAGACTAATCTATTGTTTGTCCTGCCAATGCGCTGGAAATTGATCTAAACGTGATGCACAGTTATTATTACCGCTTCATCAATTATACATTTTTGAAACATTGTGGACAAAGTACTGCAAATAATATGTTATATCAGTCTTCTATGAAACAGAAACTTTAAGATATCTCAGCAACTATTAGATGGATTGCCATAACAAAAATAAATAAAGAATAAATCCGGCTTCTTGGAGATTTGGTGATCACCTGACCTTTCGTGTAGCATCACCAGCAGGTCAAAGTTTTCACTTATCCTGTAAAATATCTCCACATCTACTGAATGGATTGGCAGTACATTTTGTAGAGGTATTCATGGTTTCTAGACAGGAAAGCCTACTGACTTAATCTCCTGTGCCACCACAAGGTTGACATTTGTGCTGGAATATCGATTATTGGACGGATTACCATGCAATTTGGTACAGGCATTCATGTCCCCCATAGAATGAATCATAGTCAATTTTGTGATCCTGCAACTTTTCATCTGGCACCATCATCAGGTCAAAATATACTTTGGTTTGTGACCAAATACCTGCAAAGCTAATAACATTCCCATTAGTCTCAGCTGTAACTAGAAAGGTGCACTCAGTAGAGTGCAGATCTCCGCCAGGCTGTATTGTGTGATTGAATGAATACAACCCACAATTGGCTAACCCCCCGTCTAGACACTAATGGACTGTAAGGGATTGTAAAACACACTTCATTCAAACTCAAAAACAAGCGACGATGTATGCAGGCAATCTGCTCAAAGTTGTTTTATAATAAGCGTCATACAATCTTGCCAAAGAAAATGTAACCCTTTTTTGTAAATGCCTCCAGGCTTCCCCTGGTAACTCATCACAACGCTATGAACTGTGGGTAATTCCCTTCGACAAAGTCTACAGAAATGCGAACCTACGGAAAGTTTGCTCTCAAGCACGAGACAAATTGACAGTGGAACATCCCGCAAAGTCTGTGAGTGAGGACATTGGGATTGGGCTCTTGTCTTGTTTTCATCCGTTGGAATAAACAAGCTAATAGAATCTGAATACTCTGAAGGGCGCTCGATTTTCCTATGTTGTAACTAAGCTAATACAAGGCAGAGATACAGTAAGAAGAAGGTAAAAGCCAGGAAAGATGACATACTTTGTGGACCATCTATCTTTGTTTATGCAAAGAGACTGTGGACTTTCCCCTTACACCCACCAGAAGTCCTAGGGTGTTAATTTAGCCACAGAGAATTGGTTTAGTGGGGAAATATGTGACATACTGTCCATGCCAAACTCATTCAAATATGTTTCACTGATTTAGCATTTATCATTGTTTAGCCCCGCAGACAATTTTAAAGGTTGCACTCTAGTTCTTGTAAAGTAGGGCAGCTGTCGTTTCCAAATTAAATAAACAGTTTCTCCCAAAGATTTGGGCTTTTTTTGAAACATGCATTTAGTGGTGTGAGGATGGTGGAAAAGCTAGACTTTAATTTTTATTTTTCCTGGTTGGAATGGCCGCGTTTCTCACTCTGGTGCATGACAGGAGTCTGATCCCGCCGTGGTCCTGGCTTTTGTAGTCTGGATGAGGGAGTCTTAACTGAAGGGCTCTAGTAACGACCACTTAAAAGAGTCTTCAGATAGAAGCTGTCATTATTTCCCTATAGGGAGGCATAGGGCACTGGTAGGTGAGGCCACACACACTTGGGAGAAATGTGCTTGTTTTTGCCAAGATTTAAATATTAAAGTTAGGGCTAAAATCGGTGTAATGCAAAACCTGGTGTTAGTTGAGTATGTCTGTTTTGCTTATTAACAAGGGCAGAAGCGATCATTCTTCTTCTCAACATAGTGGCTCCTCTTAACTGAACTCCCCGACCCAGGGTTTAACTATATACATCCTGTCATAAATGTGTCAAGATAAATTTGGTAACTTATAGTTAGAGTTCACAATTTTAGCTGGGTCTTTTTGTCTCCGGCAACCTACCATTCAAGTCCCTATTGAGATGTCAACATTTTATGAAACATCCATCAATTTCAACATTATTAGATCATACTTACGCCTGCCTGGCATCCAGACTAACCGAGAGAGATGGAGATTTCAACCACATGGCGCTGGACTGACACTCCAAAACAGCCCTGCGGTTGGCAACATCCTCCCAGACCCAACAATTGTTTCGACCTAGCTCGTGCTTTTATAGAGTAACTGTGTATTTTTGGAGGTCAAAACATGACCGTACCACGGGTCACGCATTGGTCAGTCTATATAGTATTGTTCATCTTGCCTTATACTTATAAACAAATGAATTGTGGGTGAGTTGGGGAAGGATATGAACAGTAAGACCTATCCTTTGAGATTTGCCACAGTTATGGTCGCTTTTCAGCACTTACTATTCATCATACTACATCTGCAGAAGCTATCCCTCCATTGAATCAAAGCAATTTTGTTTATATATTTGTGATAGAACTGACAGTATATGTCATTTGAATTTGATGGCTTTACTTCGGCTCGTTCTCCATCTCTGTGATCGAGCCCATATGAAAAACATCCATCCTGTGGTCAGAAGGACAAGCCTCTTGCTTATCAGCTGCTGTGGATGGTCCTCCAGGCATGAGTCTCCCATTTCCTCCTGACCCATTTTCAAAGTTTGCCTTGGATGCAGCTTGGAGTCCATTGTGTCAACCTAGTGCACATGTTTGCTATAAATGTGTGATTTATGTTGGGCCCCATACAGTGTCTGTACTTTCTCTCCTCACAGGTTCCTGTGTATCCGGGTTATACCTGGACCTGTTCTGTCATACATTGAATGTGTTGTAATTACATTGAATGTGTTGTAATTCACTATCCTGTTCTACACATGACATCTATTGCACTTCTGTCCATCCTGGGAGAGGGATCCCTCCTCTGTTGCTCTCCCACAGGTTTCTTCCACTTTTCTCCCCGTTAAAGGGTGTTTTTGGGGGAGTTTTTCCTGTTCCGATGTGAGGGTTCCGGGACAAGAGGATGTCAAATGTATATATATTGTAAAGCCCTCTGAGGCAAATTTGTAATTTGTGATTTTGGGCTATACAAAAATAAATTGAATTGAATTGAAAAAAAAATATGGACTGTAGCTGCGAGGTATTGGGCTTTCTCGGGTCTGAGAATGTGGTCAGTGCTGTGAAAAGCAGGGAAGAAAGATTGGTGTTCATCTATACACTTTAGAACAAACCACAATGATGACATTTTAACAGAGATAGGCATATTGTAACTCAAGAGATTTGGAGAAATGGAAAACCCTCACTCAAATTGATTGTGATGAACTGTTGTAGGATTTTGATCCCTATTTAAATGTTTCCTAGCGAAAGCCATAAGCTGCGAGTGGAGCTCTAGGAGAGAACCCAAACACGTGAGATGAGATGTTTGCTCCCTGTGAGAACCAATCGTGTCTGTTGTGTGTCAGGGCCGCGGCTCAGAGGCTGGCTGGAAGTGTTATGGGGACCTGCAGCCAGGAGAGAAGGTCCTGCAGGATATAAAGGAGAGGAGAGGGCAGGAGAGGCGGCTCCAAGAGATCCAACAGCAGCTGGAGATCCTGAACCAGGGCCAGGATATGACTGTGAGTTCAAAGCAGCTACATATGTTCTCACACACACACACACACACACACACACACACACACACACACACACACGCACACGCACGACTACTTGCATCCCTACACTGTCTGTGTGCTTTATAACACTCCTCAGTGCTTCTATCTGCAGACATGTGTGTCCCAAATTATTACAAGTGCACTTCAAGCTCATTCTGTCATTCTCACAAGGGGACAATGAAATCACATGCAATACTCGTGTCTCTGCAGGCCCGTATTTTTCCTTCTCTCTTTGTATCACTAGCCAGGGCTCGACAGTAAGCGGTGCCAGGTTGCCATTGCCAATTATTTTGAGATATTAGCAGCCGATTCTTGGCCTTACTTTTTAACATATGAAAAATAGGGAGAGCACACAGCAAAGACGTGCATCCCAGTCTCTTCAACAGTGTGTTAGAGGGGATTCAGCTGTCTAAGCAGGATCAACACAGACTGAAGGTCATCTCATAAAGTAGAGATGACGGACAAGCTGATGTTGGTGTCACTTGAGGCCCCCACAATCAAAAAGGACTGATGGATCTGTGGTGGGAATCAGCATAAAGGTAAAAAAATAAATAACTTTGAAGGGAGAGAACGGATGAACAAGTAACCAGTGGCTTGCACTACAGCTGCACTACTTATTTTTTATACCAGCAATCGAGGGTGGACACATTAACACTTAAGGTTCAAATTAAAGTATCAGATAAAACAAACTACAAAGAATTGTGTTTGGCTACTGTAATAAAGCTTTTGTTCTTTTACGTTACATATTCATTATTAAGCCGGCATATACAGTAGCTGCATTGTATCTTAATTTACAAAAAATAGACTAGAAATGGCAACTATGCTTTCAGTTTTGAGATCCGAAAGCTTGGCAACTTTTAACTTTTAAAAGATAGTGTTGAGCCCTGGTGACATTTGAACTTTACAGTTGCGTGTCAAATCTTGATTTACGTTTGCTTTCAGTTAAATATCTTTCTCTGCTTTGCTTTGTCCATGGGTTTGATGCAAGGGCGAAGCATTCTTGACTTAGATCCGATGTCCACCCTCCACAGTGTTCCCTAGAAACCATTGAGCTCTGTCTGCTTTTAGGAGCCACTGCAGAGTTACAACCACAGAAGGGTCGTACTTTACCCAAACCCTGTAGCTAAAGGTACCACACAAGAATGTCTCGAGAACAAAAGGTGGATGGGTCTGATTTCTGCTTTCTCTGACATTTATGACTTTATTGTTTTAGGGGAAAGAAAAGGAAAACATTTTAGATTGATTAAGTGGTTTGACTTTGTCATTCTAATGTGGGAGCTTCTACGGTCCTGCTCAACAAACTACCTGGTTGCTTCTTCACAGCGCTGCTGTCGATGGCGTACAAATTTAAACGTGTGAACTTAAATTTAAAGACACATCAGTTCTCACAGTGATGAACCACAACGTGATGTAAATATGTCTAATTTAAAGATAAAAGATGCTCACAAACAGCGAGGTAATAAAAAACATTAAGTGGCAGCCACACCCTTACATCAAACACAGCACCATGCCATGCAACCAGAACCTATTCCCGGCCTAATTATGGAGACACAAATGGGATTCTTTGCTAATTAAACAAAACTCCGTTTGAGGAAACAGTTCCCTCATTATGATCACGAAACATCAAACTCTTTCTATATAGCTGTGTCTCACTACATTTTACGGTCACTAAATGATTCAACCCAGCAAGCGATTGCAATGTAAACTGCACACTCACTGTGTATATTCTTTGTGCCACCGGGCTTGTTTTGTGGTTGGAAAAGATTTATTTGCACGGAATTTGTCTGGGAGGGCATTCTTGAACAGTTTCACACAGCTCCAGTGTACTCATAAAGTTGATTTGTGTCACATTCGTAACTCAAATGTCTTCTCGCACCTGAAGTGTGAACCAACTTGTGCAGGCTTTGTGCATACTTCTCTGGTGTGCTATAAGAGCATGATAACTAAGAAGAGATTAGTTTGTGAATAGAATTACCTTTTGTGTTGAATTGCGCAGTTCAGTCAAAGTTACTCCAAATGCTACCAATACAAATACTATTAAAGTATTAGTTCATCATTTTGCTGCTCTATGTTTAGTCTGGCCTGCTGCCAGAGTGCAGCACCTTTATAAAGGTGGAACATGTTCAAAAGGTTCGTCTCATACATTGTAGAAGTGACCACAGATTATCTGCTCTACTTCAGTTTGATTGACTTCAGCGTATTATGTTAAGAATTCAAATGTTTGTCTAGAGATCTCCCTGATTTATCTTTCTGCAGTGATTTATTTAAACAAAAAGATGTGTTGTGTTGGATTCAGATCTGAGATCTGTAATTGTGTGCGTCATCTCTGCTTCTCCTTTCTCTCAATCCAAACAAAACCCCCATTCCAGCAAAATGTATCTCTTTGCCAAAGAATCTCTTTTGTCAGCTTTCCTTTTTCCAGTTTTTTTTCTTCTATCGCTGTTAATAATATCCGCCTGTGCAGGATAGCCCTCGCCTATTTTTCTAGAGAAAGGTATTATTGATAAGACTGACATTGTTCTCTGTTAATGACACATACAAAGTTGAGCGTTCAGCGGGTTTATATTCAAGTGTTAAAGCTAAATCAGTGAATTCAACAGCTGACCCGGTGCTAGTTTTCCTGCCACCTCATTTGGCTGCATTCCTGGATCAACTGCAAAAGGAAGGACAATCCCAACATTTACGGTAAGGATGGATGGTTCCAGCAGGGCAATCTTGGTCTGATCAGGCCGACATCATTAATCATACACTCTTTTTCATGTTAGCCAGGTTTCCATACAGTCCATAAACTAGAAAGCATTTATTTTTAAATTGTTGAACTGACTTCTTCAAAAATCTCTTAGCAATGTGAGAACCTTAAACCCCACCGTGATAGGTAAAAGTTGGCCTGAATCTGTTGGGTTAGGTTGTACGAACACTGCAGTTTCACAACTCTTTTTCCACAGGAGGCTGGTTGGGTTTGCCAGAAAAGGGATTATTTCTCTCTCAGCTTCTCTCAACCTCTTCTCCACTCTTCATTCCAGCCATGGCTACTGGCTGTTAGCTTTTGGCTTGTCACACTGTCTGCCCTCGTTTTACACTTTATGATCTTCTGAAATAGACAGTTTAACAAAAAGAGTTATCCACAATTGTCTCTTCTTTTCCTGTGTCACCGGTTCTAATGAGTGGCAGAGACCAAGAGGTGTTCCCACACATGGCCATAGATGTTATCTGTTATGGCATTTTAAATATTGGTGCATTGGTCAGTGTAAACCACTATCTATGCGCTGGTGTCTTTAGTACTGCATCAAAAGTGCTGTTTTCAACCTCTCCTTACAAAGAAAAGTTAAGAACAATTTAGATCAATGCCACAAAAAAGATATAAGCAGTTAGTTAAACGTTTTGTCTTCTTTCTATTTTTCAAAAATCAGGATAAATGCATTTTTAGACACAATTTATACGCACTTTCAACTTCCATAGAGTGCTACATCATAGCCCTGTGTAATTTACGAACACTGAGAAAAGACAGTCTCCCCCCCTTTTCAACAAGTTAGCCGTTAGCAATTTAAGACGTCTGTCCATTTACAAAATGTTGGATGACCTATTGTGCTATTAAATTTGAATTACACTCAAACAGTGAAGATAACATGCTAGGCCAACTAGCTTTTACTCAGAAATTGAAACTTATTCGCCTAGCTTGCTAAACTGGGCTTAAGTTAGCAAGATATGAAGTTATATTGCCTGAGCTAAAGCGGTAAATCACAACTATATTTCTTGTCGCGCTTCATTTAACGGCTCAATCACAACAACCAGAGCAAAGTGTATGTCACATGCACAATATTTTCCTTCATACAGCTTCATACAGTAGGCTATGTGCAAGAAATGATGGGGTAAAATGATGCTATTGGGATTCAGCTAGGAATCACCAATATAGATTGACATTAATGAGGTAACTCAGAAAGTCTCTGCCGCAAATTATTATCTATATTATGCACATTATCTGACAAACTTGTTTTTGTCTTAACCTCGATGCATTCAGTGTCATCGCTGTGCTACAGCAGAACGTATTGCCAGCTTGCGGGCTCAACAGCTGTATGGGCAGCACATAGCACAGAATTCCTTCCTCCATTAGTGGAGAACTGGCCCCTGGGTCTCTAGCCGATAAAGCTGAGTTATGTGACTGATGTCAGTAACCTTGAAAGTTGAGCAGCCCACGCTTGTCGTAAACCGGTCCAGCACCCTCTGTGTACAGGAGCCAACTGTGAGCTGTACAGGGGTGGTCCACTGCAGGGCAGATAGCTGGAGGGCTGAACAGTTCTGGCTTTGTCAGATTCATCACCAGGTGGGAAACTGATCCAGGAGAGTGAGCAGGAACCTTGATCTTTTAACAAAAGGTTGTAGAGGTTCACCCACCGTGCTATTGTTTGTTGGGAGAGGAACTGATCTCCTGTCTGGAGGGCAGACGAGACATTAAACTCATCGTCACTATTGGTAATTGAGATCCACAAGGCGGAAGACTGGAGTGACAAATGGCAGGGCGCAAAGTAAAAATGAACGCACTGTAAGGAGTTGCTAAACAGGGCAGAGACAGAGGTTTTCCCTTACACTTACTTTCTCTGCACATGGCTACAGGTCAGACTGAGGCTGACACAATAAGCCTGCCGGGTCTGGATAGCAGGTGGGAAAGCCAGAGCTCACGGAGCAGTATGAGATATCTGGAGCTGCAATATTGGCATTCTGACAATAACCACCAGACATCTTGCGCTTGGGGCTACAGCAATGGCTGTTATCATCATTTGTGGAATCGCTCATGCCTGGAATATAGATAATTAAAATAAATAAGTGTTGGGTTCATTAGCAGCCACGTCAAAGGCATTTCCCCGTTGATGCTTTGTTGTTCCAACTTAAAATCGATCAAAATGTTCACAACAAATCTCTGAGCATCAGGGAAGCAGTGCGGGCAGTGAGGGAGAAATATTACTGTGGGGAGAGAAACTTGGGTTTCAATGCACTTTAACAAAAAGGTCATTTTAAAACAACATTGTTATCCTCATAAATATGTATGGTTTTCTTTCTGTAAATTTCATTCTTGCATTGTTATTTATTTCTCTGTATGTGTTCGGTAAGAACATCCGTCTTTCTATAAAGCTGTCAAAGGCCAGTAGGAATTGTCAGCAGTACGCGAGTCTATAGATTCTCTACCTCCAGCTTGTATTTCACATGTTTAAGCCAGAGGATGTTTGTTTTGGAATTACACAGCTACACATTGCCTTTGACTTGGAGTTGGCAATGGTTACCAGTGAAAAATTACAAAATTTGTATGTATTTACATCTTCTCTCGCAGTGTGTTTGCTTGCACTAAAGACACTCATGGCAGCTGAAAAACAGAAGCTTCTCCAGTTCCAATAAAAGTTGTATCTTCCCCTGCTCTATTCATACGCTTCCTTGTGGAATCAGTCTGATGATAACGCTGCGTTGACAAACTTCCAACCAGGCTCAACATTGTTGTTCCTGTCTCAGTGATAACCCACAGACGGTACTCGCTGGAAAACCAACTCAGTCAAACATATTCTGTATTTTCTTTGGACAGCCGTCCTGTATTCGCAGCACTTTACTTTGCTGTTTACTGAAATGAATGTGGTGTCGACTGGGAAGCTGACTGTAATACTTTTGTTAAACTGGCTCTTTAGAGAGTAGACAGACAGGAAAACCACTTATCAGTCGCCCACACACACCCTTGGCCTCCCTACTATTAAGGGCACCTGAGGTCAACCACTTTGAAAGAGTCACAGCATTTTGTCACAGCCGTAAAAAAAAACCACTCATCGCTTTTTCTCTCCTCTCTCTTGGAAAGTCTAACTTGTAGTTCCCATCTAACCGGCTGGTACTGGTTAAAAGGTATTTCTGGCCATTAATACTCCAGCCAGTGGGACACTTTTTTATTGGCCCTTAAGCACTCAAACACTGACAGGCCTGTAATTGACCAGTGTGTTTTCTTTGTGCCATACGTTTCAAGTTGCAGTAATGGCTCACTAATGTTTTTGCAAATTTATGATACAGTTCCAAGCAAATATTTCTTTTTTTCTGTGGGTGGGTGTCACAGAATACACCTGGAAGGGAAGCTAAGTGAATCCAAAATGCCTACACACACACACCATGGGTATAGGATTTGTTCTTTCACCATTTAGAGGTGAAGGTCAAGTCTACAGGCAAAGGGCTGTTCCATGCATGTCAAAGGAGAAAAACATGCAGCACATTGAGGCTGGAATGTGTTCATGGTGCCTGTGGTCTCCTGTCCATTGGAAGGAGAAGATTTCCAGCTTCTGAGTAATTGCAGGGGTCATGAATGAGTAACACGGCCCAACCTGTCATGATCTAAAGGGTGTCTGTCATTACATTACTGGAGGACTTTGAACATGGACATGATTTTTCTGGTAGAGATGTCTATCAGCAACCGGGTCCTGACGAGGGGCTGGAGAGCCTCAGAGGGTGGTCTGGTCCGATGAGGAATAGAAATGATCGATGAAGAGTATTAGCTTGAACTAGTGGGGATAGATGAGACACAGGAATGTGATTTTTGTCTCGAGTGACTCAGCGGGATGTGTTGTAAGAGGTAAAAACAACTGCATGGTCATAATAGTCTCTCAGGACAGAGCCTGAGAGGATGCACGCTGTGGTACCAGGCTGTATTTTTTCCAACACCAAAATGCAGGTCTGCTTTTGAACTTGTGTCTGTGGATCTCAAGACTGCACTAACGAATACGTTTATATTAAATTAACAATTTGACATTATGGGAAATACACTTGTATACTTTCTTGCAGGGAATTGGATGTACAATTCAATACCACTATTAAGGTACAGCTTATTGAAGTCTAAGGGGAAACCGCTCGCCTGAGTCTGTCCAAAGGTAACAAAATACACCAACTAGCACCTCTAAAGCTCACTTATTAGCACGTGCTGTCTTGTTTGTTTAATCCGTACAAAACAAGATGAAGCTAGCTGATTCCAAATGCTTTTTGTCTTTGTGCTAATTTAACACAGATTCTCAGCAGGCAGCTGTTTTCAGCAAAGAGGCTCTGAAAAACAATCAGTGGGCTATCCTACCTGCTCTGCAACAAACAGCAGACACACAAAGTTAGCGATCTGTTGAACACAGTGGAGCATTTTGCAGCTAAAGAGCCAAATGTTTCCATCTGGAATTGATGGAGACCAAAACTGATCTAAAAGGAGAGTGGATATTGGACTTACTAATAGTATTTTAACGTTATAAATGGATGATATGTCAGTGTTGTCTTTACAGATTGTTCCGCTACCAAAAGAATCAATTATTTCTGCCTTGACTGGCATCAGAATAAGGGACAGAATAATCAGGACATTTGTGCTTCAAGGCAAGGGACATTCTGTTCAGCGTGCGATGACAGCTAAACACACGCTAAAAGAAGGATGACAATGATTAGCCTACTATTTGACTTAGAGATTAAGGTCTGGCTTTCCTGGACACCTTTTTGGCATACTGCTAATGTCATGAAAGGCAATGAGTTGATATTATTGGAACAAATTGACTGATGGGTTTTTTGCAGCCGTCTAGACAAAGTACAGCATTGTCACATGAAGAGATGGCAACTGTCTGTGAGCACTTATGCATAGGTAAATTAGTCATGTCTCACCGTATTATGACAAAGGTGTTAAAAGTGTACACTGTCAATAAGAATATGAAATCAGAAATTACAGTTGCCAGAAAAAACATCAGTCCCATGAATAGATATTGACATATATTAAAAGTCTGAACCCTTTTCCTCATGACCGACTTTAAGAATGTTGGCTTCTCTCCTTGAACTCACATGCACTTCCAGAAGGCTGCCTGTGAGGAGTCTGACTTATCATTAGAAAAACAACAGTTATATCCAACTGGAAGGGTTTTTCCCCGGACGACTTCCAACTAGGCACAGGGAAGGAGCGCAGCATTATTATTATGAACTGCCACCGTCATCACAGTTCATGCATTAATTCAACACATTATCAAGAACTAAGTTTTAAGCCCAATAAAGGATGGTCGTAATGGGAACTAATTTTGGGAGGAGCTGATAAGCTGAAAAATATTATTTTGTCATAACTGTAATTATAGGGCCATGTGACCTCGATGCTGCCAGAGGTCTACTGTACATGATTGGTTGTAAAAAAGTGTTGTGTTTGCACATATTCCTGACTTTGTTATTATTTATTAAAATCATAGATATATTTCTTAAACCCTACATACATTATTTTTGTGTCTTCCTGCAGAATGAGTCACCAGACCTTACTGAGGAGCAGTTACTCAGTCTGCTGGATGAATGTGAGCTGATGGAGAGCTGGACCCAGGATCTTGAGACGAATGACACGACACCATCAACGCCCTAAGAAAGCCCCGATCCACCTGAAGGCCTGCTATCATAACGCCCATCAAGATGCATCATTGATGGGATGTCACCATCAGGCTACTAGTGGGGTTGTGAGAGAAAAATGACTGGATGTAAACATATTGAATTACCAGAATATATCTAACCCTATCACAATAGACATTTTGGGACTATTAAGCTTTCCTATTTATGTAGATATAACTTACCAGTCTTTTATACACGCTCTACAAAGTGTCAGTATTGTAAAAAAAATAGTATTTCTAACTTATCTGGCAAGAGGTGGAAAGTGTATCAGAATATTGTAGAATACATTTTACTCAAGTACAAGTAAAAGTACTTGTATAAAAATGTAATTAAGCAAACGTTAAAAGCATGGCAATAACAATATCAACTGCAAAGTGGCTGCGTCAATAACACACCAGCAAAGGAGAGACTGCAGTTTTTAAAATTCGCGTGGCACGCACACGCAACTACGTTAAAAGGCAGCGAAGTGATTGTTGACGTCGGAAAAATCAGCTGTTGTGGTACTCACCTGTCTGAACGGCACCGCGAAGTCCTCCACAGTCTGCTCCAGGTTCAACTTCTCCACTCGTTCATTCTCAACGCGTAATATAACTAGTCCACTCAGCCTCTCTGGTCCCAGTATAACCAGTCCATTCAGCCTCTCTGTCCCAGTATAACCAGTCCACTCAGCCTCTCTGTCCCAGTATAACCAGTCCACTCAGCCTCTCTGTCCCAGTATAACCAGTCCACTCAGCCTCTCTGGTCCCAGTATAACCAGTCCACTCAGCCTCTCTGTCCCAGTATAACCAGTCCACTCAGCCTCTCTGTCCCAGTATAACTATATTCCATAGTGCTTGCTAGCCCCCGGCCCGTGACCGTGGCGGCCCGTGAACTCAAACATTTATAACAAATCATTTCCGGAGTGTCACCTCTCTGCACGTGGAGCTTTGCCTTCCTGCGGCCGCAGAAGCACCTGCAGCTTCTTCACTGCTACAGCTGCTGATTGTCTCCTTTTCTTCTGTTCCATTCTTACAGTTTATCGGGACTTTTTCAGGAGACTTTTGTTTTTCCTCTGTAACAAATGCGACTTGAAATGTAGCGGAGTACAATACTTGTGATAAATAGTAGCCCATTAAGTAAAAAGTAAAATTACTGATTATTAACAACACTCAATAAAGCGCAAGTACACAAAAACTACTTTGTTACAGTAACGAGAGTAAATGTAATTTGTTACTTCCACCCTGAGAACTGCTATTTTGTATACCAATTGGTCTCATTGTTTTCAATATGCAGCAGGATTACATCCCATTGTTTTCATTTGTGTTTATGGCCCTGCATGAGGAAACAGAGCAGCAGGGCCACCCTTTGAAAGAAAGAAAGAAAGAAAGAAACATTCCTTTATTAGTCCCACAGTGGGGAAATTATTCCCCAGGTTTGTATTAACCTAAGTATCATAGCTGAGAACAGAAAATTACAGCCAATTAACTCTAATAACCGGGTACGGTGACCGCAGAATGTTCTACTGCTCACATAAACACTCAGCTGATAGCAGCTGGTTCGTAGTTTCTGAATTCTGAACACTATATTGTGTTTACTTTAAGTCCTATAAAATATAGTATGTCTCCGTTAGTAATGTGTGGCTGTTAATGAGGACACAGGGATGAAGTGTGTTCCACAAGAGTGAAAGTCAGATCCACTTTAGCATTCCTGTCATTCCTGCCTCTATAGGTGATCTGCTTCAGAGTGGGTCAGATTAGTAGGATCTTCTGAAACTGGACCCTGTGTCCCCTCTTTCCAGCCTAATTTTCATTAAAAAACAACTAACAAAAGATGGCCAGCTTTGAGAATGATGACTTTTGGTTTGTTTAGGGAGATTAGCGAGCTGTTGACACGGTTCCTATTTGCTCCTTGTGAGTAGCAAGTCTGCACCTGGCTGATCTCGGCCCAGAGGTCCTGCCTTTCCTCTCTCTCGGCACTGGACACTTGCGGGCCTGTTCGCCTCACTCTTCACCTCACCCACACATTCTGACCCCCTCTAAACGGCAGGAATTATCTCACATTCCTCTGGGCTGAAAACACGCCGGCCAGGTGAGCCTCCAAGGTCAAACGAGAGCCCTACTATCAGTGAAACCTGCAGAATTATCTGCCCGGATATCAGACCAGGTCCAACATAGCACACACAAACACTAGACTAACGACTTGTGTCATTTGTAATCAGTTCATAAGATTCACATGCAGCATATGTATCATTTCCGTCTGTTTTACAAACAGCATTTGTGATGTTGACACAATATATCTTCAGTAGGGAAGATATGCCGCTCATTTGCGGTAATGGAAACACAGTTGAGCTCCATGTGGTAAGAATGAGGTCACTTCTAATGTAAAGAGACCTGCGGCATACTGAGACTGTCTGGGCTTTCTGGCTCGAACCTCACTGTTGTCTTAGATTGCAGCTCTTTCAGGCCCTGTGAAACATCTAAATTAGCAGTCGTAAATTCTGCTTGCTGGTGATAAACTGGTGCAGGGTCTTTAAGCATACTAGTCAACGAGCGGCAGACCAAGTCCACGGATACCTCATCTACCTTGAAATAAGTTTTATTGAGACACTTTAATGACAAACTGTGGAATTTCAATGCACATTCTTGCTCGCAAGAGTGGACCACAGCCATAAGTTTACATCCCAAAGGAGAGTGAATTTATTACTCTACAGTGCAAAATATGTCTAAATTTCACGTGGAGTTTTTGTAGTTTGAAGGGGTAAGTAAGGTGATGCCTTTGTAATGTGTGAGCATATCTGTATGGACGAGCTGTGTAAGTGGGTTATACTTCATGTTGAGTTTTCCTGCTGTTGACTCCCAAGGATATTCCCTTTTTCCAAGACTTCAGACTCAACTAATGGATTCCAGTATGGCTCGGCTCCTTTTGCTTTTCTAGGGCGAGGGCCTCAATCAGAGTAGATATGACGTCCAAAAATCATTGAGAAATAAGTCTTTAGACTATTCAACTGTTAGTTTGCCCAAAAAGACACCAACCGACTAAGATACTTTTTCAAAGTGTTTATTGTTCACTTGACATTACAAAATACCGGGTAGGAGTATAAACAGCACTTTGGGTAGAAACTATAGTACAAAGTTTATAGAAAAGCTTCACTAACAATTAAAAAAGACATACAAAAACCAAAACAACAAAGACATCCTCATGTCAGTGTGCAAATAAGTTTATACAGACAGAAACGCTTCCATATGAGGCTACGCTTCTAGATAAATTATTTAAATAGCATATATCTACACAAATGAAATAACCTCAACATAAAACAAACATAATAATTTATCAAAACAAATGCACAGGAAATACATATCGCACAACATAGTCCAGATAACATTTCTTTAATCCTTTACGTTCCTGTTTGGGCTTCTACAAAAATATCTTATATACAGCACAAAAATTATACTAAAGTCTTGCTTAAAAAAAAAAAAAAAAGAAGAAGCCAACTAATTTATACTCTGATGCTAAGACATGTGATTCTTGTGCATTGCTGGCCTCAAAACAAAAATAATTAATGAGGTAATATTTGTACAAAAAGGGTTTCCTTTGATTTTCCCTCGTCAGAAATGTAGGCCTATACACAACAAGCTCAGGCACACCAGTCATGTACACTGTACGGATATTTAGAGATACTGTAAGTGATCTTTTACTTTTATGGTGAAATGTAATGCTTTATTTTGCCATTAGCGCATATTGATTTCACTAAATTGGAATAGATCGGGACCAATATTTCAAGATGCAGAGATGAGTGAGAATTAAAGCCTCTATGATGAATAAGTACATACAAACAGCCATACTTACAATGGTTTACTCGAGATGGGAAATAGACTGGCCTTCGCTGTTTACATCCCTCGACACATTCAGTAAAGATTAGATGAACAAAATATTTGCTAATAATTACCGTTCCAAAGCAGTGTTAAGTGCACCTGCTTCGGGGCCCTGTGCTGTCCTAAATTTTGTGCTCTCCTCATTTCTTCTAGTGCTCTTTCCTGAGAAGACGTTTGAATGTTTTGGGCCAGCCCTAAGCCTTGGCTAAATACAAGAACTCATGTCTGCAGGTCTGTGTGGAGATGGGGTCTTTAAAGAAATCTAAATGAAAAATAATGATGCGGTTGTCTTCATAACTATGCTTGTTGGGTGGCACACATGCACAAACACACAAACAACATTCACTCTCTTTGATAGTAACAGTCAGTCCATACTGTCCATGGTCCCTCAACAGTTCCTTCAAGGGGTATATTTACCCCAGCCTATGAAAGTTCTCCTATTGCTTTCTTCATACTGACCAGTCCACAGCAGATGTCTATTAATGCTCAGAAATAATATTTAAAAACATGGAAAAACTCTTCCCTTTGGTCCCTCGTCCACAGAAGAATACCGCCAACAGTTCAGGTGTGCAAAGCAATAAAATGTGGGCTCCCCCCTTCAATGCAGATCAGAGCAACAAAGTGAGAGGGCCAATTTCTTCTGAGCAGAGCTGCGCTCACAATTTGAGTTTGGTGCAGAATCATCATTGAACTTTCATTTGGCTTAATGTCCTGAGGTCAGTTTACCTCACATTAACTCACTTGCTCGTCATTCCTCCAATGTGCAGTTCTCAAAAGAAAAAAAGTTAAAGAGATATCTATCCAGGTCTTGTGTTACATATTCATACTGACGGACATTCTGCTAGAAGGCTCTGTGGTCCAATTATGTATCTGAAAGTAATTATAGAGAGAAAACACGTTACAAATAAAGTCTAAGGTGATGGAACCATTATTTTTTGAAATATCAAATAATCGTTTCGTGCTTACCTTTGCATTCGTATTTGAGGTCTGAGAAGTAAACCATCTCCTGAGAGAAGACGTACAAGCCTAGCCGCCCACCAGCGTACGTCGTGTCGTAGATGTTTCCAGAATCAGCCATGATTCTCTTGCCTTCGTACATGACCACTCTAAAAAAGAAGATGTGATCACATGAGCTCATTGCCGCTATGATATAAATTATGCAGATTTTGATAATTGAATGAAAAGGCATGCTTCTGAGGTTTGGAACTCACCTAATAAGTCCAGTCTTGGGTCTGTGGGTCAGATGCCATCTGTAGGCAGTGAAGTCCTTCCAGCCGATGTTCTTGGGGTCGTGCCACAGAGTGCGAACCTGAAAAGGAAAAATCGCAATGTTAGAATGAGAAAAGTGTTCAAACAATATGTTGAATGATGTCTCCAACCCTGAGTCAATGAATCTACTCTCACCTGTCCTGCGGTGTCTCCGGTGTGCCACAGGGCGTTCCTCAAATGCTCACCGGGCCCAGTGGTGGAGTTGACCATCTTAATTGACAGGCCCGAGTAGCCTTGAGCTCTTGTGGGTGTGTGCGACCAGTAGGTCTGTGTGATCTGTTTCCACATCACTGTGTAGAAGCGTGAGCTGGACTGGTAGCCAAATACGAAACCAGCGTAGTCGTCATCTCTGTCCGTGTTGACGAAGAACGTTCCACTGAAATCCACTGCGCTGAACTCATCGTAACCTGAATTTATAAAAGAGATGGTTTAGAAGCGGTTTGCTACCACTTTATGTCCTTGCAGTGAGATGTCTGTCTGTGTATTACGTACCAACAGCAATGCCAGGATCGCAGTTGACAGTCTGCACCAACTCCTTGCCCTGA